TCAGACGTTTAGAGACCATGTAGATGTTTGGCAACCGTCCAGACCATTCAGACGTTTAGAGACCATCCAGACCATTAAGGTAATTAAGAAGTACTTTTGATGAGCATGGAACGGCACGCTGTGAGATGATGGGGTTTAATGTTCTCTGCTTCCTGCTGTGAGTCAGCAGTATTTTACATTTAGCTGCTCAGATCTGCTAAATCTCTGATTTCTCTTTTAGAAACAAAATTTGATTCAATTTCAATTTACCGTTTTTATGTTTTGATTGTCACCAACATCAGGACCGGCCCAAATGTTCAGATGGGTGCATGCCTGATTATAATCCATCCCATGTGGTCAATATGTGTGAATATGGCAGACAGAGGGAGGATTTATTCGGTTTTCTTGAGTCGGAAAACATCTTTATTTAAACAGTTTCTATCCAGACAAGAGGAAACAGGAGAAACGTCAGTCTTTTTAAGTGAACTACAATGAACATCTGAAGAAGGACAGCTGTTGTCCTGCCGGTTCAGAATTCAACCCTTTATTCATCACTGTGTAGACTAGTCAGATTCATGGATTGAACACTGGTGACCCTCTGGCCAGTCTCTGTGAACTGGTTTCATTGGTCCACAGTGACTCTGGTTTGTTTAGGCTCCTCTGTCATTCTAGCTTGGTACAACTTCTGGATTCCGATCAAATAGTTTTCTTCATTTGGAGAATTTAGAATCCATGAGAACTGGTGATCAGCACTAGCTGGAATATTCCAGAAGGTGAGTAAATTTCGGCTCCCAGGAAAAGGAAATAGGGAGAAAAAGAGGAAAATCCTCAGAGGACAAACCGAAGCGTTAAAAAGCTCTCGATTCTCTACTTTTCCATTTTCCTCTGCTCTGTCTGCATGATTTAACATCTGTTTCTCTTTCTTCTTCTACAGCTTCATTCTCCATTATGCCCCCCCTTTTTTTTCTGCCTAATTGCTCCTTTGTTTTTTGCTGGGTTTTTTTATCGCTCAACTTTCATTCGTTTTACTTTCCTACATTTTAGTAATTGCTTTCAGTTTTCATGTTTCCCTGTTTTTTTCCTCAGTCTTTGTGTGCTGACTGTTTCTCCTGTTTAAACATGTCAGGATATGAATGTTTAACTGGTGCGGTCGAGGGAATGTGTGGCTGCATGTCTGCCTAAGGATCTTTACCAGTTGGACAAAAAAACCAGACTCCAGTTATCTTAATTATTTTATTTTACTACAAATCATCGACAGAACTTGGTACACTGGTTGGTCAGATGACCTTTGACCTTTGATAGATCTAGACCTTCTGTCCTGGAGCAACTGAACCTCAGAGCTGCATTTGACCCAGAGGATAAAGAAAAAGGAGACTAAGGAAAAAGTAAAGCAGGCTTTATGGAACCGTTACAGCTTGGATCAATCTACCAGGAGCTCTGACCAGAACCAGGACACGGATCACATCAGAGCTGTTCCTAAATCGCTGCCATGTCTCCCTGATGTCAAACAGTAGATTTTCTGCTGTTTATCTGGGACTAAATCTGTTGGTATGAACCGTGCAGAACCAGAACCAAAAGAGAACAGGCAGAATCCCCGTCTCATCCCAGTAAATCGGATTATTATCCATCACGCATTTAAGTTTATTTTAAACTTTAAAACATTTTATTCCCTCAGACTGAGGTTTTCAAGTTCAGCATTAACTCTGTATGGTGTAATAATATAATTGCTAATAAAATGTGACTTTCCATTGATTGCACTGAAAAGATTAGTGAATGATCCTTTTAATAAACAGGTCAGTTCTTCACAATCAGCTCAGAAAGTCACTGATGACAACAGCTTCACTCTCCATGGTGCTGAAAATGTTATCAGACCCTCGCCTAACAAACCATCTTTAGTTTGTGTTGCAACAGAGAACACCCTCCCATCACCCCAAGCACTGAGACGTTTAACCCCTGACCTTCTGCCTCTCATGTCCAGTTTTCCCTAAAGATGAAAGCCCGAACTATTCTAGAATAGAAAAAAGTTATTTAGAGAAGTTATTTATCTAGAAATGATTTAAACATTTGCCTGTATTGTTATAAATGTGCTCAGAGTATCAGTGACTTCTCCTCTCTCTGAGTGAAACCAGCAGATCCAGTCTGCAGTGAGGGCCTTCAGGCCGGCCACTGACCGCTTATTTACCACTAATGTCTGGAAATCCAGCTCTGCGCCACAGCTGGACCTTCCTTCCTGATTTGTTCCTTTCTGGCCTTTTTCATCCTATAATGACGAAACACTATTCTAAAAAAAATAAAGGTCAGATCCTAGATAAATCTATAAATCCAGGTGTAATGTCGATGCTGTGGCCATAAAATACGGTTAATGAGGCTGTCTGTAGGCGGCGAGAACCATGTTTGATGTCCTGTTCTAACCGCGGTCCTCTGGCCTCCGGGTCGCTCAGACCGCCTCTGTGGCTGAGTTTAGCCGTCCTGTACTCTGACCGCTATCAGATCACGCCTGCTGTTTGTGGGACATCCATCCATCTCCTGCATGCTCTCTGTTGGTTTTCCATCCTTCACGTCTTAATGTCTGTCGCTGCATTTCACGATTGTCACTAAATTTAAACGAGATGCATTTCAGAAAGAGTGAACAGGTTTAGCTGCTGATGTGCATGCCGCTGTCGTAGTGGTGAACGCCACCGTCATCATCATCATCATCATCATCATCCTCTCTACAGTGCTGCTGCATGCTTTGAACTATGACAAGTGCCTTTACTCTGCTTTAACTCTGTGCTTCTTGTCTTCGGCAGGTTAACATGGTTATTGGGATTCTCGTTTTTAACAAACTGGTCTCCAAAGACGGCATTACTGATATGAAACTAAAGGAGAGGGCGGGGTATGCCTTAAAGCACACATTCCTTATTCTGGGTGACCTCTAACCAGCCCGGCTGCTAATGGGGGGGGGGGCTGAATTGGCTAAAGTCGACCACCTGATTGGTGCGATCCAACCGGCCGGACGCGACGGAGGAAAGGAAGCGGTCTGGTTAATGGTCCTCACAGACTGACTCATCTCATTGCTTTCTGTTGTTTCTCCTCCAGCTGCTCTTTGTTTGCAGGTGTTGCTCTGAATCCATCCACTTCCCAACCCTGCTTCTGTTTCTCTCTTTAGTAAAGGGGATCAGGGTGCAAAAACCAGTTATCTCTGCTTCCGCTTTCTGTTCTTCGGGTCCGAATGCTCCTGATTATACATCAGTAAATAGTTTGGAGTGTTTTGTTTTTCATTAAAAAAGGTTTTGATATAGCACCACTTCTGCTGACTAATATTGAAGCTTTCACTGAAAAAACTCTTCTAAAAATAAGTAAAGATTTCTACTGTGTTTGCTTTTAATGTGTGCAGGAAAATAAGATGATTTGCCAATGGGACGAGTTTTTCCCCCTTAAAATAAAGCAAGGAGATGCAATGAACATAAAATAAGATAATCCTCTTTTTCTTATTTATTTTCATTTTGCAAATTGTCTTTCCTGCCTGCTGAAATTAAGGAAAAAAGTGTTTATTTAAAGAAAAAAAGATGATTACAATATTTGCAGGAATTGTACAGAAAACTACTGACTGATATTCATCCTAGGAGTCTTAGGACTGTTTTTCTTTCAAATTTCCTTCAGATTTTCTTTGAGCCACATATGAAACCATGTGATCAACATTAAATGCGAGACAGAATCTCCTCTTAAAGCAAACCCTTTAGGAGAACTGTGGCCAAAACATTAAGCCTGTCTTAATGTGTGTCCCTAAGAGGCGTTAGCCAGGTTAAGCTAAGGGTTAGCTGTGGATGTGTCGATGCTGGATGCAGTGTGCGAAATACCTGTCAATATTCGGGGGGGTCCCCATCTCCCGATTGTTGCGCAATACCGATCTAAATTTTCTCAATATGCAGTAGGCCTATAACATGTCAAAGTCAAAGTCAGCTTTAATGTCAATTCTTCACATTCACCAGACATACAAGGACTGGAGAGGACGTTCGTTTCTCATTCACCAACAGTGAAACAGATAAAGTGCACAGGCACAACAGATAAGATCAGTTCCTAATACTAAAATTTAAACATTCAATTTCACAATAAAATATAAAATGTACAATAATATAAAATATGCAATACTTATGCTAGTGCAAAAAGGCAGATGGTAATGGCAGCAGAAAAATTATTATTATTACCAATTATGTAAGATATAGCATTTGTAACAGTAACAGTGCAAAAGAACAGTAAATAAATATAGTATTAATAGTAGTGCAGGAGAAAGAGCATATTTGTGAATAAAGGTTTTGAATTTTAATACTGGACATGTTGAGCTTAAAAACATTTTAGGGACCATTAGCTACAAAAAAATAATTTACGTCCTGCCCTCATTCTTAGCTTAGCAGGTAGATAACCATCATTTCCAATAACCACACCGTAAGCCTTTTCTTTGGATTTATTGGCTGCTATGGATGGATGAATGAATGATAAAACTGCAACAAAGAAATAATCTGCATAAGTCTTTGTGTAAACAGGCACAATTCTAAATAATAAACTTAACATATTCCCTGAATATGCACAGAAACACATAATGACATAAACAACATGTTAACAGTAGCCGCTAGTTAGCGCGTATGCTAACTATTTTTGACACAATTTAAGACCCCCCCTTAAATTTTGCTTTTGGGGTCGAGCCCCCCCGGACCCCCACTGTATTTCGCACTCTGGCTGGATGGTTTGTCTGGTGTATTGGACCATGTGACGTGTACAGAACAGTTGATTTGGCTTTTTTGTCAAACAAGCTTCCGATTCGGCTCAAAGTGATTTTTCTCTGCGGGCCTCAGTCTACAATAAAAGCCTGATTGAGGTTTATTTCAGCAGCTGGTGGAAGCAAACATCGGCTGCTGAGAATCTACTGAACCTGAAGGTCCGGTTACCAAACTGGTTTTTAAAAAGATACCAGGATTGAAGTTTTTGAGTTTGTTGTGAGTGTGGAGCAGCAGTTTCTTCACTAAAATAAGGTCCTTGCCTGGAGAGGGGTTTGCATGTTCCTTTGTGTGTATATGGATCCTCCCTGGTTGCTCCAGGTTCATCCTACAAACTGCCCTATGACCCAATGGCCTCCTTAAATTGCCCTTTATGTAGTCTGTCTTCTCCCCTCCAGGATTAGAGGCAAACTACAGCTTTCATGAAAACATCACCTAGAAAAATTTGAATGATCTCCACCAGGATCTAAACCTAAAACCCTTCACACATTAAGCACAGTGTGTCCTATTTGTTCCTCAAGTTCTCCATTTTCCATAAGCAAACTTCAGGAGTTAGCCAGGTCCGGTCTGTCGTGATCCGGTCTCAGTGTGGGGCGGCAGCGGTACTCTGGTCTCCACATTAGAGGCTAAAATGGCTCTTCTGTCGGACATAAACTGTGTTTAGAGTTCTGTTTGGACTTTTAGCTTTGCTCTGTTGGTTATTGATCAGAAGCGACATACACCCTGATTCCCTTTACTCCTCGGGCTGTTTTCCATCTCCATTAGCATTGTTGGTTCATTCAACTGTTTCTGTTTGTTTCTCTCTCTCTGAAAAGTTTGTTGCTTTTTTCCAATGATCTCTCTGTTCACTGTGTCGTTCTGCTGTCTGAAATGTTTGAGTTTGCACAGAATCCCCTCTCTCTCACTCAGGGCTCTCCAGTCAGGAACACTTCAGTCTCAGACGCCCCCTCCCATCTCAGCAGTGATTGGGTAAAAATGTCTGCCCATCCCACTCTCCTCTTTAATGCGACCAGCTTCCAAAGCAGCTGATTCCTCTAGCGAGCGCCTCTGATTGGCTAACTGTTTCCTTCCTGTTCTCACTCCTCCTGCCTCCTTTCAGCTGATAGACCCTAACGCTGCTGTAGGACCTGATCTTTTCTCCACTGCTTTTAGAGAATTTTCCTGTCAGTAACCAACAGCTGTAGAACAATAGGAGTCCTATTTATTTTCTGTCCATATTTATCATTGGAGTGATTGTTGTGAATGAAATGATGGCTGTGTGTCCGTGTTTATGCTAGCTCTTTAGCACCTGCTGTATTTACCAGCCTTCTAACGACAGGCAGGACGTAATCCACCAAACGTGACGAATCCCTGATGTTAATGTTAGCGGTGGGTTTAAAGGTATAGTGTAAATTAAATTAGGCATAAATGCAGTAAATAGTTATATAAATATTTATATAAAGTCCTACTATAGGTAGAAATGGACCATGTTTATTCAGGCAGTTCGTTTCTTCATTTGAAGCTTTTACTGAAGAAAACAAAAACATACTATTGTGTTTGTTGTTGGACCCTTAACCAGAAAACGGATCAACACCAGTATCCAACTTCAGACCTTTTTTGCACTAGATTAATTTTTACTCATATTTGTTGTTTTTTTTATACAGGGATAAAAAAAAAAAACAGCAGAAACGTCCAAGAAAATCCATTTTTATATTGCTGATGGCCAGTTTGCAGAAACGCGAAGTTAGCTGCCCATTGAGTTAGCTACCCATTGAACGGAGGCCTTAGTCCTCGACGCAACCGACCCGGGTTCGAATCAGACCTGTGGTCCTTTGCGGCATGTCCCCCCACCTCTCTCATACCCCCCTATCAGTCTACTGTCAGAAAAAGCAAGCCACGAGTGCCGCAAAAACTTTTTTAAAAATAAGACACGCCTTTAGCTGATAGAGGGACACATTTTTGCCCAAAATATATAAACATGTTGCATTTAAGATAAACAAAAACATGTTTCCATCTGTTTTCTATCCAGAACTCCTCAACTGGAAAGAGTTTCACCTGGTTTAATTTCATAAAAAGGCAAGGCAAGGCACATTTATTTGTATAGCACAATTCAGTTCAAAGACAATGCAAAATTCTTTA